TGAAGAATTACACAAATAGACGGCCTCCAGTCCCCGGGGGCCCCGCTATTCTTGGCTACGGTGACGACCATGGTAACGACGGGGCAGGGGGTGCTAAGAATCTCCGGCGGATCTTCGGTTGCCACCTACGACGACTAGACCTGGCAACATTTAACGCACATACCCTGAGGACTGATGAGAAGATCCTGGGAGCTGGAAGAAGAGATAGACAAGTTGCACTGAAATATTATAGGATTATCCGAGGTCCGAAGAGAGGGGGAGGACACGGCAATCCTCGAGTCCGGCAACTTGTTCTACCACCGGGAGGGCGACCATCTGTCCCAAGGAGGTGTCGGATTTATCGTCCACAAGTCTCTCGTCAACAACATTGTAAAGATTGGGAGTGTGTCGACGAGGGTTGCGTACCTGATACTCAGAATCACCAAACGGTATTCGCTGAAGGTCATACAGGTTTACGCACCAACCTCGGCACATCCCGATGAGGAGGTGGAGGAAATGTATCAGGATATTTCCAGAGCCATGCATTCCCCCAAAACCCACTACACGGTGTTGATGGGAGACTTCAACGCAAAACTGGGCACAAGAAAGAACGGTGAGCTGAAGGTAGGGACATTTCGAATAGGGCAACGGAAACCAAGGGGCCAGCAGCTGACCGACTTCATGGAGAAAGAGGGACTATTTATGATGAACTCTTTCTTCCAGAAGCGGCCCCACAAAAAGTGGACCTGGTCGAGCCCCGTCGGTTCGACAAAAAACGAGAATGACTTCATTATGACGACCAGACGCAAACTGTTCGGTGATGTTTCAGTGATCGCAAGGGTGAAAACTGGCAGCAATCACCGAATGGTTAGAGGCACACTGAAACTTAACGTTAAGTTGGAGAGGTCTCGTCTAATGAAGTCAACGCTCCGTCCCTCTCGTGTTCTAATCCAGAATCCCGAAAACTTTCAGCTCGAATTACTTAACCGCTTTCACTGCCTAGAAGATTGCAATGCAGTGGACGATATGAATGACAAGCTCGTGGAAACTCTCCATGCGGTCGGAGCTAAGTTCTGCAAGACCCGTCGCAGAAGAACACAAAAACTCTCCGATCACACTCTTAACCTCATGGCTGTTAGACGGGAGATGAGGCTGCAATCGTCAACAGATTTGACAGCATACATGCAACTGAACAGACATATTTCCAAATGTATGCGGCGAGACTTACGCAACTTTAATACCGCTCGTACTAAAGAAGCGATCGAGCGGAACCAGGGCTCCAAAGTCTTTGCCAGAGATCTGTCTGCCAGAAAGAGCCAACTGTCAAAGCTGAAGACTGAGTGTGGCAGCATCGCTTCCCAGACACTTGAGATTTTGAGTGAGATTGAGAGGTTCTATGGGCAGCTGTACACATCATCGTTGGAGCCACACGCAAGTGTGAGTAACGATCCAAGAGCAAGTCTTATTTGACACTATTCCGATGATATCCCGGACGTCAGTCTGAGCGAGATTAGAATGGCTCTCCAGCACCTTAAAAACAGCAGGGCCCCAGGCGAGGATTAAATTACAGCGGAGCTTCTGAAAGCGGGTGGAACACCGGTACTTGAAGTCCTTCAGAAGCTTTTCAATTCCGTCCTCCAAGGTGGCACTACTCCGGAGGCGTGAAGCAGAAGTGCGGTGGTCTTGTTCTTCAAGAAAGGTGACAACGCCCTCTTGAAGAACTACAGACCGATATCCCTTCTGAGCCGCGTCTACGTGCTGTTTTCGAGAGTCATTACGAATCGTCTCACACGCAGACTCGTCGACTTCCAGCCTCCCGAACAAGCCGGTTTCCGAAAAGGCTTCAGTACCATAGACCACATACATACCCTGCGGCAGATTGTACAGAAGTCCGAAGAGTACAATCTGCCACTTTGCCTGGCGTATGTGGACTATGAGAAAGCCTTTGATTCCGTCGAAATTTGGGCGGTGCTACAGTCCCTTCACCGGTGCCAAGTTGACTATCGGTATATCGAAGTGCTGAAGTGTTTGTACAGTAGGGCTTTTACGTTTTGTGTTTGTACGATGGCTATCCGAGTACAGAACCAGACTTCGAAACCTATCCAACTGCAGAGAGGTGTAAGACAGGGTGACGTTATATCCCCGAAACTCTTCACCGCTGCATTGGAAGACGTTGTCAAGCTACTGGACTGGAAAGGATACGGTATTAACATCAATGGCGAGTACATCACTCACCTTCGATTTGCCGACGATATAGTCCTTATGGCAGAATCGCTGGAGGAACTAAGCACTATGCTCAATGACCTCAATGGTGTCTCCCAACGGATAGGTCTTAAGATGAACATGGACAAAACAAAGATCATGTCTAATGCCCATGTCACACCTATGCCGGTAGTTGTTGGGAGCACTAAGCTCGAAGTTGTTGACGAATACGTTTACCTGGGACAAATATTCCAACTAGGTAAGTCCAACTTCGACTGAGACTAAAGAATCGAAATCGAAACTAAAGTGTACAACCAGTGCGTGTTGCCAGTGATGACTTACGGATCTGAGACGTGGTCCTTCACTGCTGGCCGTATGAGGACGATCAAGGTCGCTCAGCGAGCTATGGAGAGGGCTATGCTCGGAGTTTCTCTGCGTGATAGACTCAGAAATGAGGATATCCGCAGTAAAACCAGAGTGACTGACATAGCCCAACGGATTAGTAAGCTGAAGTGGCAATGGGCCGGCCATATAGCTCGAAGAACCGATAACCGATGGGGAAGAAAGGTTCTCGAGTGGCAGCTTCGTACCGGTAGGCGTAGTGTAGGGCGACCCCCCACTAGATGGAGTGACGACCTGGTAAGATATGCAGGAAGTCGATGAATGCAGGCGGCTCAGTACCGTGCTTTGTGGCATTATTTGGGGGAGGCCTATGTTCAGCAGTGGACTTGTGAAAGGCTGTAATGAAAAATGAAAAAAAATGAAGCTGGTCTCAGTAAAGTCAGGAGTTGGCTGAAAAATAATGTTCTAAAACTCAACGTGTAAAAACTAAATATGTTATTACCTCTGTCCATAGGAGTATGCTACTCCCACTGACATCTATTACTATTTCTGCCCATGCCTGTGATCTCAAGTCCATGTGCTCATGTCCCACTCTTGAAAGAGCGGAGAATATTAAATATCTTGGGGTCACAATTGATCAACATCTTTCCTTCAAACCGCACGTTGAGACCCTTATAACTACACCGTTATAACTAGACTAGAGATCGGAAATTTTAAAGTCCTAAGATAATCTGCTGATCGAAGTTTATTAAGATGGTTTATTACGTTTTATTCCAATCCCTAATCGAATACTGCATCACACCATGGGGAGGGGGTGCTGCCAAAACTCAGCTAATTGAAGTATAGATTCGAGAGGGCACAGCACGCTTTACATAGGGTAAGTGGTATTAACAGTGGTAGAGCCACGGGGTAGTTTTTGCTGTCGCACGGATGGGCCAGCTCTAACCGGGGGTAGCACGACCTCGCAGAGTATTAACGTGAAGTAGAGATTTACCTCTGCGTTGCGCTTGGTGAGTGCAGTTGGACGGAGGACGGCGGAAGTCCGATGGCTGCAGTAAACTTTCAAGTCTTGATGGAAGAAAAATGACTTATATTCAAATAAAGAGAACATTCGCGTTGACAAAAAAAACTACTTCCAAACCTTTAAAAGTTCCAACTTTCAAGACTTGTTGTAGGAAAAATACTTGCATAGAATATTGATCTATAACTATATACAAATAAAGAGCACAATCGCGTTTACAAAAAAATACTTCCAATCCTTTAAAAGTTCTAACTTTCAAGACTTGTGTAGGAAAAATACTTGCATAGAATATTGATCTATAACTATATACAAATAAAGAGCACAATCGCGTTTACAAAAAAATACTTCCAATCCTTTAAAATAACTATACCTTGACAGAACATTGATCCGTAATATAATATATATAAGGAACAGAATCGCGTCGAGTGTCGACAGAGCGAGGATGTTCAAATACTTTGAAGTCTTGCGAGTATTTTGGGTCGGCACTTGGTCGGCGTACTTGCAAGTAATAATAATAATAACAATAATAATGGCGTAGGGAATTGACGACCCCATCGCCCGCTGACGTAACAGTTAAGTGACAAAACTGCTACGTCAACGCAGTCAGTCAGCGCCTTGCGAGAGGTGTGAGCGCCGTGCCTCGGCAGAATTCAGGGTGCAAAGGCCCGTTTGTGCTTATGGCCGTCCACGATACGGTGCCGGGCCTGGGCGTCTCCCGTTAATGGACGCCCATATTATGGATGATGGAGAAAAAGATAGTGCGCAAAGGGCCGCTGCCTGGAGGTCGCCAGGGCGCGTCTGGAGCTGGCGCTGGACGCGACAGCATGCGGGCCGCCAGCCGAGCGCGGGGTGTTGCAAGACCACCTAGCAGCCCCCCGCACATCATCCCCACCAGAAGGCTTGGTGTCGGCTGGGTCTTCTCGGACTCAGCAAGCGGCACCCGCCGCTGGTGGAGCACGTCGCATGCGTTGGTCTAAATCAATGAATGAAAACGCACTGCGGGCGTATTTTAGGGCAAAAGGGGAAGAAACTGGATGTTTGGCGTATCGGGCTCGGATGCATCGCTTTTTTGCAGAGCTGGAGCCATCTCTATCCGTCACTGAGCAAAACCTGGCAGACCGAGTTAGGTACATCCTGCGCTCCAACATATTTGGTGACGCCGAACTCGAGCGACTACGACGTGAGGCTATTCCTTCATCGAATGGAAATGCTACGGCTGGGAATGCGGCGCCACTAGATGCGCAACAAACTGCATATGTGGATGCTGCCGTCAACATTCCATTTGTGGCTAATTCAGACGATGATGGAATAGTCTCCCACGAACTAGAGAAAATGAGGAGCATATTGGAAGAGTCGATGCTGGAAACGCGCAGCATGCCTCTCCAAAATCGACCGCGACTTCCCCGCATACCCCTTAGCAAGCGAAATCGGGCTGTCGTGCGGGCTCTTAACCCAAATGCTGGTGACCTATTTGGAAGCCAGCCGGGACCTTTGCGAGACGGATTCAATTCTTTTTGGCGCCGCACTGGCAGTATGCCGTATTATTGGCGCCAAACTTCCCGTGGCTGGACGTGCTACTCAAAAAAGTAGCGCCATCCCAGCCTGGATAAAAAGAATTGAGGACCGTATCGCAAAGGCAAGGGCCCTTATCGGCAGACTGACAAGCTTCAGGTCGGGTAATAATAGACCGAGGATTATGCGCACAGTTAGGATGGCGTTTGCTGGGACAAATATCAATTTGTTCCAGCCGGATATCACGCAAAAACTAACGGAGCGCATAGATGACCTGAAGCAAAAAATCGCTGCTTGGGGGAAGCGGATTCGACGATTTAGCGAGAGGTCAAGGCGGTTCAACCAGAATCGTCTCTTCCAGAGTGATCAGAAGAGGCTCTATAAAACATTGGAGCGACCAGAGGTATGTGGAGCGGGCCCAGGACCGGATCAGGCTGACACTGTCGCATTTTGGCGTGGCCTGTGGTCAGAGCCCGTAAACCACAGCGAGGGCCCTTGGATGGAAGTTGTGGCGAGCCAGAGTGCAAGTGTTACGCCTATGGACCCCGTCACCATAACGCCTGAAGACGTGGCTGAGGCGGTCCGTAGGGCCCCGAACTGGAAAAGTCCGGGGCTCGACGGGCTGCATCATTACTGGCTGAAGGGGTTCGTAGTGTGTCACGCTGTGCTCGCCCGACAGTTTCAAGAGGCTCTCGATCAGAAGTCGCTCCCGAGCCTCTTCACTACTGGGATCACTCATTTGGTTCCTAAAGATCAGGATACCACAGACCCGAGCAAATACCGCCCCATCACGTGTCTACCCACCATATATAAGACACTGACATCCATTTTTGAGCGCGAGAATCACTCGTCACCTGGAGCTAAATCAGGTGATGTCACGCGCTCAAAATGGATGCCGGGGCGGTGGTCGTGGAACCAAGGAACCACTCCTCATTGACGCGGTCATTGGCAAAGTGGTGAAACGCAACCGTCGGAATTTCTCCGCCGCCTGGATAGACTACAGAAAGGCATTCGACTCGGTGCCCCATACATGGCTAAAGAGAGTCCTTCCAGCTGTACAAAATTGACTGTACAGTTGGAGACTTCCTCGAGCAGTGTATGGGGCAATGGAGTACGATCCTTTGCTATCTGGGCGAGCGGATGATGGCTGCGGAGAACCACATAAGGATAAGAAGGGGTATCTTCCAGGGCGATTGTCTGAGTCCAATCTGGTTTTGCCTCTCCCTGAACCCTCTCAGTACTTTACTGGAGGGCTCCGGGAGGGGATTTCAGCTTCGGAAAGGAGGTTACAAAAGTGACCCACCTTTTCTATATGGATGACCTCAAGTTATTCGCCTCCAGTCGCTCCCATCTTATGGAATTGCTAAACATCACTTGTGAATTTAGCAATTCTATTGGAATGGAGCTGGGAACGGATAAGTGTGCGGTCCTCCATGTTGAAAGGGGGAGGGTTGCTAACTCTGAGGGCATAGACTTATCTATGCCCGTCAACTTAAGGACCCTTTCCGAGGCTGAAACATACCGATACCTGGGTATGTCACAGAACATCGGTATCGATGAGGCTGGTATGAAACAGTCAGTTTGCGACGTGTTTTATGCACGCTTGACCAAAGTGCTTAACAGCCTTTTGTCCGGTGTGAATAAGACACACGCATATAACGGCTGGGTCATGCCTGTCCTCATGTATACCTTTGGCATACTCAGGTGGACTCAGACTGAACTTAACGCCCTGGATAGAAAAGTCCGCACTACCATGACGTCCCACAGGATGCATCATCCGAGATCGTCGGTAATGAGGCTGTACTTGCCGCGAAAGCATGGTGGGCGTGGCTTCTTGAGCGCGCTCACCATGCATAATCGCGAAGTGTGCAGCCTCCGTAATTACTTCCTGGCGAGATCGGATGATCCATTCTATAAGGACGTCATTTCTAGTGATAAAGGACTTACTCTCTATCCTTAGCCAACGAGCAATGGCAAGACCCGGCAGTGCAGACAATTTCCGACCGGGAGAACGTATGGAAGGAGAAGGAGCTCCACGGGAGGTTCTACAAGGCTCTACATGAGCCTTTCGTAGACACAGTAGCCTCCCTCCACCGAGGGTTTTGTCTGTGCAATACAGGATCAGGTTATTAAGACCAACAACTATCGGAGATACATCCTAAAGGATGGCACCGTGGACATCTGTCGAGCTTGTCGCCATCCCGGTGAGTCACTTAGGCATGTCATCTCCGGTTGTTCGGCGCTTTCTAACTCTGAGTACTTGTACAGGCACAACCTAGTAGCCAGAATTCTCCACCAGGGAGCTCGCTCTGAAATACGGTCTCGTGGATCGGAAATTGCCGTATTACAAGTACTTGCCGGAAGCCGTGCTCGAAAATGATCGCGCCAGGCTCTATTGGGACCGGGCCATCATCACAGACAGGACTATTCTTGCGAATAAGCCTGATATTGTGCTGATGGACCGGGCACAGTCAAGGATATTTTTGGTCGACATTACAGCCTCTCGGGTCATCTGAGGCGACTGGGACTACGTGGCGGACCGCTCCGGGCTCAAATGCAGAAGGCGGTGCTCCTCGATACCGCCCGCATCGTCCGCCGGTTTCTTTCCCTTTCCTCCTAACCCTCGGCCGTTTGGTCTCCCCTGCCGAGGGCCTCCATCTGGTTGGGCTTTTATTTATTTATGTATTTTTATATTTATTTTATGTTATTGATATTTATGTATATTTATCTTTTCATTTTCATTTATAATTATATATTTATAGAACCCAACCAGATGAGAAAACTATATAGATACCCCACAATAATAATCTTTATTTGCAAGAATATGGTTGTACAATGGTGTTTGAGTATAATTCCTTCCACATATTCTACCTTAGTGGTGTGCAAATATCGTCAAATAGGTCAAGTAACCTAAACAACAATACTTATCGAATTTAACAACATATATTAATTTAACAAAATATAAAATTATTTAATATTATTTACTTGATTTGATAATTAATTTATTATGCCACAGTGCCAGAAAAAATATAAGTAAGTATTATTATATCAAGTAAGATTATTATTATACGTCAATGTAATATATTAATTACTATTCTTACGTCAATAATTATATAATGTTACATATCCAATTGTCATTAATATCTTTCTATTTTTACATCAAATTTATTAATTAATTAGATACATAAGTCAAATTTTATATAAAATAATATCAAAAACATTATTTTTTTTTAAATATCAGAATCTCGTAAATACGTAATTAATCCTATTCTAAAATTATCATTCATTATTACTCGTATGTAGGTCGTTGTCGTTTAAGAACTCTTCTACAGAATAATAACATTTACGGAGCAACAATGCCAAAACAGATTTCTTAAATGACAATAAACTTTTACGCTTTAAATTATCAGGTAAATTATTATAAATTCTAATCGACATTGCAGAAGCATTTCTTTTTGTAACTTTTAGACGATTTGCTGGCGCATATAACCTATTCTTGTATCTACCCTTACTTTCACTCACATCACACTTACGTTGAAATAAATGTGGATGCTTATGAACAAATATGCACATTTCAAATATGTATAATGAAGGCAAAGGCAGGATCTTTTTTAGTTTTGAACAAAGGTTTGCAACTCACTAAAGTAAATAACTGGTCGCGTAAATATGCACCTTCCCTAATTATTATCACATTTCTACTTTAATGTAGAGGCGGGACTAGGCACTAGGCATGTCGATTCACTCTTAAAAAATCGATCACTGAATCGATTCAAATCGAACATACTAGAATCGATTATCGATAGAATGGAGGATTAATAGATCGATTTCCAATTAATTGCGGCCTAAATAAACAAAATTAAATTCACAGGACAATATCTAACAAGAAGTTGGACTATTATTATTGAATCTATAGAAGTTGGACTATATTATTACAAATGATTTTTTCCGGATTTCGATAGGCCATAAGTTTGATTAGATAGAGAAGGGTCGTACTTGCAAAATCAATTACCAGGGCTTTCAAGTACGTCCACCTTCAAATAGCAGCGCCAAAAACCAGGGCTCGAGATACTTTCAAGTATTTTCTTTCTGCATCGAAAATTGACTCGTAAGATCATATATATAAGGAGCGCAATCGCATATGCTAAAATAAAAAACTTTCATGCCTTGTCGGAAGAAAAATACTTACATAGAATATTGATCCGTAACTGTATACAAATAAAGAGCAAAATTGCGTTTACCAAAAATATACTTCCAAACCTTTAAAGTTCCTACTTTCAAGTCTTTTTGGAAGAAGTCAAGTCCTCTTCCTCCTGGACCGCCGCAAGGTGTACTCGTTTGTAAAACCTAAGTCAATTATATTTTCAAATTTAAATAATCAAATCAGTGTTGATAATTCGAGAAAAAAAAATAGGAGTGCAGAAAGCAGTGGTGGTGAGCAAAACTGTGAGTCAAACCTTATATTCTGATCGCCTAGTACGCATCCCCCTTTTGCGGACATACTTTATGTCGTCATTGACCAACCTGCGTGTGCGCTTAGCCTATCTGCATACGCACTTTTCGGCCATTTTGGCGTTTTAGTCCAACCCACTCAAACGAGACTCCACCCCTTGCTTGCCATAGGACATTGCTGCCGCACTGTTTTTTGCACCATTTTGCGATTACGTATTGAAGAGCATAACTAACTTCTATTCACTTATAGTCTCCTAATCGTGAGCAAATGGATACCATGAATAAATCGTTGTCAGATACAGAAGTGGAAATTGCACATCAAACCACCACACCAAACTTTTTAACTGCCCGGAAAAAAGAGAAGAAGAGATGAAGATTACACTACGGAATTGGCTAATTTAAAAGAAGAAATGAAGAACATGTTCTTATCGCTTATGAATTCTCAAAATCTTGAATTTCAAAAAAATGCAAGCATTCTCAAAGAAATCCAAAAAACTAACCAAAATATCGAAAATTCTATTACTTTTTTGACAGAACAAAACAAGGAATTTCAAGAAAGGATCTCTAAGCTAGAAGGACAAATTAAGGAGGACAGGAACTATATAGCGGTTTTGGAAGATAAAATAGAGGACATGCAAAAAGATAGACGTAAAACAAATTTGGAAATCAAGAACGTCCCAAGAAAGAACGACGAGAGTAAAACAAACCTTATTGAAATGGTTTTAAGTCTATCCAACACTATCGGCTGCCAAATGGTAAGTTCAGATATTAAGGATGTGTATAGAGTCCGTGGAAAAAGAGAAGATATTAAGAACACTCCTATTATTGTGGAGACATTATCTACAATACAAAAAAAATGATTTTTTGAAAAAATGTAAGGAGTTCAACAAAAAAAATTACAAATCAAAACTCAGTGCTCATCATTTAGGACTTAAGTCTTCAGGTGTAGAAAATAATCCTATCTTTGTATCAGAGCAGTTAACAGCTAAGGCTGCTCGACTCTATTTTCTTGCACGCGACCTTAGCAAGACACATTCGTATAAATTTTGTTGGACATCTTACGGGAAGGTTTACTTGAGGAAAGACGATAACTCCAAAATAATACTAATTAAAAATGAATCGCAAATCCAGCAGCTGAAGATAGACACCTGACTAAAAGCCGTTCTACAATATACATGCAATCTCTTCGTTTATATTAGAGTAAGCTCTATCGTGTTTTCGTATATTTATTTTTTGTTTTTAATTGTTCACCACACAAATGTAAAAAGGCAATCACTCAGATACACTTTCACACATTCATCTTCCAGTAATATAACTATTGCTACTTCTCTTAGGTTCCTCTGTCACCCTACCCTCCTGCACATTACGTTGCTATTATACATATATAAAAACTTTTATTTTAATCTTTTTATATATACACATCGAACTAATCACTTCGCAAAATTACCTTCTACTCAATTATTTATAATATTCAACAAACTCTTTAAC